GCATGTTTTCCTAAAATAGAATTATTTATGAAGGCAAAAACACTTACTACAGCGTTCAGAAATACCGCAAATTGCACGCCGGAATTATTTATGGACGAGGAGGAATAATTAGGAGGCACAAGGTTTTAAAAACTTAAAAACCGTTTGAAAGATATTAATTAGGAATTGTGCTGATTACTTTTTGGTAAAGATCGATCAAACCGTTTTCTTGTATAATGCGTTAAATTTTTTTTCTACTATTTTTATGAATTTTTTTTACGGTAGATACTACTATAGTCTTATAAATCATACTAAAATATTACGGCCCTACGACAAGTCAATTAATTTTAAAAATTCATCAGAGTTTGCAAAAATTAGTATCGTTTTTTTTGGCATTTGTCAAAATTAGACCTCTGATAGACGTTTTCTCAAAAACGCCTGAACCGATTTCAAAAATTTAAAAACTATTTGATGTAACTCAATGAAGTCTATCGTTTATCATATTTAGGCGACGATCTGCCAAGCCGTTTCTTTGTAATTCGGTAAAAAGTGTTAAACTTTTTGTCTACAGTTTTTTCGCCCACAGTTTTTTTACGAAAAAACTTTGTTCGTACGAAAGATGCAGAATAAAATTACGAATAAAATGGCATATAAATGGTTAAGTGTGTTCATATAATTTTCTCAAGATTTTTCGATTTTCCTGAAATTTTACGATAGCAACTCGCCTGTAGGCATTTGTTAAAATCAAAATTAGACGATTTACTTGGTACAATGATAGAGTACTTGGTCTTGATGAACATACTAAACCATTAAAGTCCTACGGAAACTGGTTCAATTATAAAAATTATCGATTTTCAAAAATTTGCTTTTAGAAAATACTCCGTTCATTCGTTTTCAATGATGTGTAATAAATTCACTCGGAATACTTTTAATCACTCATAAATTAATGTATTTTTTATTGAGTCGATTATATGCACAAATCGGAAAGTTTATGTAACTTGGCTCAAGGCAAAATACCAATACCAACTAGTTTTTTCTTCTAATCTATAATAATCAGACTCAGGGGCTGGTTTTGTCGTAAAATAGACCATTGTTATGGCAAGGCTATTTTACGCTGCGTTCTTCATACGAAATGGTACTAAATATGTAAAAATGTCGTGTGGTTGCTGTACAGTCAGGCGTTTTAGATAGAAAACCCATCCTAAAACACGCATAAACGTCAAAAAACAATCTTATCATAAATGCTTCTTTGTGATATGACTTGATAACATGTGAGTGCAGTTGTATTTTATGTGTAAATCGCCTGATCATACATAGCATTTTGACAGTATTTAATACCATTTTGTATGAAAAGCGCTACGTATGCAGTTCAATAGTTAATTTTTTTAACTGGTTATAAATGAGAAACTCGAGTAAATATATTACTACTTTCACTAAGAAATAATTTGTACAAATATTGAAGTAACGACTTCAAACATCTCAAAATGACTTTTAGGTGTTAATTAAGTGTTTAAACATTTCCTAAAGGGCCGTCTTAAATCTCACGTGCATTATCGAATTGAGGTGTGAATTTATATATATATATATATATATATACTGTAAAAAACACACTTCCTAAAAATTAAATTGAGTAATTTGTAAAATTTTTCATTTTCTAATTTCATCTACTGTAAAAGGCCTTCTAAAATATTAGAGGAACTAGAAAGTTTCAGTGTACAACTTTGTCTGATGATGGAATAATCGATCTGAACTCAAATTAAACTAGATAGATAAAAAAGATTTATTCCGAAACCTATCTTCTTACTAATTCATTATCTTTGTGTACAATTGGGATCAAATCAGTACAGTATTTTAGAAGTATACTAAAAATCTTTATGTTGGTTCTTAAATTTGGAATTAGCTTCATAAATATTCAGCAGATAATTTTTGAAGAAGTTATGATCAGTGTGTAAAATTGTAGGGAGCAATTAAATGCGTTTTGTCTAAGAGTTTTTATAAAAATATTGTTCTAACTTTTTTGTTTTGGTGTATACTTTTAGGAGCTCTTTATATATATTATATATATATATATATAATGTGAGCTCGTTTCTCAAGTTTGCATCTGGTAGTAACATTCCATTCTAACAAAACCGCAAATCTAGGAATGTCTTGAGTTTTGCTCATTTGTCTCTTTGCTGAAGACAACACACAAACATATAAATTTATATATATATATATATATATATATATATAAATATATATTATATATATTAGAGTGATGTGGGACATTTGACAATTATGCAAATGACATAATTCCCATGGAGGGTTTTGCAGAGTAAAAGAGCACCTTTTAGGGTAGACTTTTGATGAAATTAATCAAGCCCTCGTAAAAGTAGACAGTTAAAACTGTACTTCATTTTGTCAATATATATATATATATATATATATATATATATATATATATATAGAAGCAATAAAAGTGCAATATTTTTCCTGATGTTCCATGAAGACAGCGTTTTTGAACAATTTGCAGAGTAATGTAAAATTTTAAGTGGCTTGGGACAAAATATATGATATATATATATATATATATATATATACATTATCAGAATATCTATTCTTCCCCTATTTTTCCAATCACTTAAGGGTAAAGAGTATTAGGTCAACCAGAATCCTTGATGGAGCAATATCAATAAATACAACACGACCAAACATAATTATGGCTATTTGTCCAGGAATAATCGTAACATTTTACTTTCGGGATAAGAAATTAGTACTTTGAGGGAATTGATACCACTAAAATAAAATATACCACTTTCTTAAATTGACATCGATATTGTAGAGGATTTTTTCCAAAAAATTAGTTGTAAAAGATTATCAGGTGCAACCAAATTTGTTGTGTCTATCGATTCAAATACATTATTTATTTATTTATTTATTTATTCATTAGACGCCAATTACAAGGAGTTTCTCTAATAATTACTTTCTATATTCTGTTAATTGAAGTAGTTATTAAATAAACCGTTTTTTTTTAGCCTTACCTTGAGAATTAATATAGTCAACAGTTTACGTTGCAAACATTTTTGTTTAATTAACACTTTTTGCATCAAATTTCAAAATATCCATTTATCTATATGAAAGTAACATTTTAATAAAGAACAAAAGTCATTATAATAGTTAAATATTTTTGTTGTATTGATATTGAAAAATATTGGACTTGGGATACTCCCTTGAGGAACACCAGTGGCTATGTACTTTAACGTAGCACCATTATTTTCTATGAAATTTTCTATTAATCCGATGTATTAATTAATTTAGTACATACGTCTACTGTGAATTTGTAAAGCAAAATTATTTCGATATTTGTGTGTTATCTACATGGTCACCCAGCCTTAGTTATTATTTGTATCAATTACACTGGCCACTCGATAGAAAATTATTTCTATCAAGTTCCACTGACTAATAACTTATGAAAAGCTATAATATATATATAGATTTGATAATATTATGATGATATTGAAAAATAGTGGACTTAGAATACTTCCTTGAGGAACACCAGTGTATATAAAATAAAGCAAATTTTATTTTTATAAAATTGCCTTTAATTTAAATAACTATAATTTTGATGTATTATATAATTTGGTAACTATTTCTACTGTAAATTCTAAAAGCAAAATTATTTCGATATTTGTATGTTATGTACATGGTCACGCAGCCTTAGTTATTATTTCTATAAAATTCCACTGACTACTAAATGTTAATTATAAAAACTCATTATAATAGTTAGTTTAACATTTTTTGCATAGATTTGTTCAATACTGCAATTTTAAATATATTTTGTTATATTGATATTAAAAAATATTTCACTTAGGACTCTTCCTTTTTTTATAAAATTGTCGATTATTTAAATAACTATCAGTTCGATGTATCAAATAATTTTTAACAGTTTTCACTTTGGTAAACTCTGATTAAGTACTTTAACACATTGATAAATTTAGACTCTGATTAAGTATTAAATACTTTTTAAGTACTTTAGGACTTTGATAAATTTAAACTCTAATTAAGTACGTTAGGATCGTTATAAATTTACACTGTTATTGAGTACTTAAGGACCTTGATAAATTTAGACTCTTCTTAAGTACTTCAAGACCTTCATAAATTAAGATACTTATTAAATACTTCAGAGCCTGGATAAATTTAGACTCTGATTAGGTACTTTAGGACCTTGATAAATTTAGACCCTGAGAAAGTACTTTAAGATTTTGATACATTTAGACTCAGATTAAGTGCTTTAGGACCTTAATAAATTTAAACTCTTTTTAAAAACTTCAGGATATTAATAAATTTAGACTCTGATTAAGTACTCTAGTACCTCAGTTTCTACTGTAAATTCTAAAAGCAAAATTATATTCATATTTACGTGTTATGTACATGGTCACCCAGCCTTAGTTATCATTTCTATGAAGTTTCACTGACCACTAAATGTCAATTATGGTGAATTATGATCCACTTCGATCATATTAGGACATTTGTCGTATTTGCCAACTACTGGGTTAATTTACAGTCCCAGATATATATAGGGCGTTTATAATAAGGGTTGTTTGACGGTAACCAGACACTATCGGAAATAAGGGCTTCATAATTAAGAGATTGCATATTGTGCTAATTATTACACTATGATGTAACAAGATACACTTACTCATGTAATAGACATATGGGTGTTTGATACAATAAATAAATGTTTTTATGAGAATTCGTTAGAGGAAAGTTAACTCTTGTTTTGTTAGATATTTTACATCATAATGTATGAGCTCTATTTTTTTGCTACTAATTTACAAGATAATAGATTACAACTTACAATAGATCTGAGAGTAAAATATTCAAATAGTGAGGGCATTTAAAAGTCCAAAAATTTTTAAGACTTCCAGGAATATCCTAAAAATTGATTTTCAATTTAATTTCAAGTAAGTATTCAGTTTTATATAAATATCTTGAGATGAGAAATGAAATTATTTCTATAAGCAACTGATTCATGAAATCAATTATGCGTTTTTGGAATACTTTATTTAAATTTAACATAATTATTTTTAGTATTATTATTATTATTCCGAGAGCCATTTGCTTATCAATTGCTGCACACGCAATTTTGCTGCTTTCATTTGAGGCAAATCTTTTTCTGATATGGATTCCAAGTCTTGGCAATGAGAAGTACCTAAAATATAAAAAAAATTGTCAAAGGCACAAATTTGAATTTAGTACTAATCTTGCTTCTGACGTCAGAAAGAATTCATCTGATTTTAATATTGCTGATGCTCCAAAAAGAAAAAGTTCCAAAAGGTAAAGTTCCATAGGGAAAAAGATCCTTGGAGAAGAATAAGTTCCATAGAGAAGTTACAGAAAACAGGAATTTTAAAAAAAATCTGAAGTTTACAAAAAGTCGATTTTACAGAAACAAGGAAGTCCCAGAAGAAAGATTCTTTAAAAAATGTGAAGAGTTAACTGAAATGATCACTTTGAGTAAAATTTCCTAAGACGTTAAATATCTAGATCTATTCATAGACGTTAACTTTTTTGTCTAATTTGTGTCTATAATTTTTGGTTCATTACCTGTAACTATTATAGTAGGTGTATCTTCATTCAAATCCTGCAAAACTCCAATGGCATGCCAAGGATCAATTGTACCATGTGTGAAAATCACTTTTGTTAATTTTGGTTTTAGGCCACCATAAACTATATTTGTTCTGTTGATGCCATTATGGAGGACTTGGTTGCTACTTCCGACGAACCTGATGGAAAAATAGACATATGTTATATAAATAACATATATCAAATTTACAATAAAAAATAATGGCCATTTTCAAAAAGTTATTTAAATAATCGACAATTCTATAAAAAAAATAATTGCTCTACGTTAAAGTACATAGCCACTGGTGTTCCTCAAAGAAGTATTCTGAGCCCAATATTTTTCAATGTCATATAATAACATGTTATGTAATATTAGATGTAAACAAAATTATGTTGGTTTTGAAAATAAATCTACGAAGATTTGGTGGAAAGTTGTCTAGTTCTCGAAGGTTCAGTTGAACTAGTTTTAGAAGTTTTTGGTGACACTAAATATTAGTTTTTGGCATTTATTGGTAAAGAAAGTTGTGATTGTGGTAATAAGAATGGTTTGGTTACTTTTTATAATTGAGTTATAATTTATCGATTGGAGGACAAAGACTGCAAAAAATTACAACAGTTGATATTAATAAACCTAGATAATCATAAAGGTGTTATATCAAATAGAAAATAGGGAAACCCAAGAACAAATTTCAGCAGTATGATTGTACCATTGACTTTGGATTTGGAATTTTGATACTTAACTAGGATTATTTAATGTACAATCTATAGTTTTGCTATAAAATAGTAAATATAACTTCCGATAAACCTAATAGAAAAATAGATATGTGTTATGTAATATTTGGTATAAACAAAATTTGGTTGGTTTCGCAGAAACATCTATCAAGATTTTCTGGAAAAATGTCCAGTTTTTGAAGGTTTGGTTTAGAAGTTTTTGGTGGCATCAAATGTTAGTTAAAGGAATTTATTGAGCAAAAAAGTTGTAGTTGTGGTAATACAAATGGTTTGACTTCTTTTTATAATTGTCGTCTACTTATCAAAGACCTGATATTTCTAGTATAGGTTTTTGTACTCTATTGTAATTTACTTGCTTTATAATATCTCTTTTTTGTGCTAGAAGTTTCTCTGAGAAAATTTACTTTCAACTTACCCATGTCCATAAGTTTGATCACATAGAGCTTCATAATATTTTAGAGTATTTGCTCCATTTCCAAAGGGTTGTTTGATGGATTTATCAGTTTGGAAATATCCATATTCGGTGCAGGTTTGGTAAATCCATTGTCTTACTAGAAATTATAAAAGAAACCTTGGTCAATATATTATTATAGACTTAAATATAGTGCTCTGCCAAAAACGGAGAAAAAATTAATTGGTGTATATATTTAATGGACAACTAATTTTTTGCATTGATTGTTGTTATTGGATAAACTTGATTAGTAGGCAATTTAAAATTTCTAATCATACATATTATGTTTTATATGATTTAAATACAAATTAGACTTTCAAATTAAACTGCCCCCAAGGAAGAAAATCTGGCTGGGGCAATATATTACATTAATTTGCAACATGGATTTGATTTAAACTTGTTGACTCTCGTTGGCTGATTGTGTTTCTAATAGTTTCTAAATTTCTAATTATATTTATATTGCGTTTTTTTATTCAATTTAAAATTGAAATAGTCAAATGAAATGTATATATATATAATATGAAAACTGTTTTCATAATCTCTCATACCAGGCATCTCTGTCTGACTGAGATATGAAAATAATGTATATATACATACATACAAGGTTGTCAAATATCTCCCTTCCGCCTTTTCGTATTATAAACCAAGAGCAAAAAAGCGGAAGGGAGATATTTGACAACCTAATATATATATATATATATATATATATAAATAAAAATTAAAAAAAATTAAACTAAATTCTTACATCCTCCAACTGAAGCCTGATGCATCCAGGAGTCATTCCTCAAAAAGTTGACAATTGGTTGAAATTTTAAATTGACACATCTATTGCCCCATTTGGTTCTAAGGAATTTTGCCAAAGTTGCCATTTCTGAACTATTACTGGCTTCAGCCTTGGAAAAAAAAAACAAAATTAAATAGACAAAAATAATAAAAATATTAGCATCAAATAATTTATGATGAATGAATAAAGTTTGTCAAGATGTTGTGGGTAAAATTCCAATGATTTAGTAGAAGGTGGATCAATTTTAGTCAGTAAACTATTACTGGTTTACTCTTGAAAAAAAATTGGTAATAACCAAATATCAATTTAAATTAATTTGTGATGAATAAGTGAAGATTCTCACGCTATTGTGTCACTTGTTTTTTGTTCTAAGATTTTTTATTGTACAATATTGTATTTTATTTAATTATCATAGAACTTTAGTGTCAATCGCAATTATCATGGGCATTTCTAATTTACTGCAGATTTTGTGATGCACTATCAAAAAAATACCTAATTGTCTGGAAATCTGGATTCTTTTAGTATACTTAGTGATTATGAACCGTTTACTTTAGAACATTGGCTAAAATTATCGATTTCTTCAAATAATATGGAATTTGCTTTAAGATCCATAAATCTAAATTATATATATATATATATATATATATATATATATATATATATATATTATTCTTACGTTCAAAAATCTGCAAACACTTTCAACATCTCCTGGCTCGTGATATTGTACAGTTCCAGAAAATGCATTTGCTATTGTTGAGAAAAAGTTGGCAAAATCCAATGGTGAATCTGGTTCTATTGGAGGACAAAGACTGAAAAAAAATTGCAATAGTAGATATTAATAAACTTAGATAATAATAAAGTTGTTAAATCAAATAGGCAAAAGAGAAAGCCAAGACGAAATTATAGCAATATGATTTTGCAATTGATTTTGGACCTAGAAATTTGACGGTCAACCAGCATTGTTTAATCTAGCATCTATAGTTTTGCTACAAATTAGTAAATATATTGTTTGTAGATTTATTATGAAAGAGTAAAATTTATTTTAGCCCTTTGTATAACATTTGCCTTGACTTTAAACATGAACCTAAATAATTAAGAGTGTACATGAAAAATTATCCTACAGCTAATGCAAAGACAAATTTAAGGAAAGACATTCTGTAATTGAATTTGGACTTAGGAATTTTGATGCACATAAAAATAATAGTAAAAATATTTTTTTTAAGTTTCAAAATAATAATAAATAGTAATATTTTAGCAACAAAGGGTACAACTTCAAATATTTCAAATGTAATAAGTCATCTGCAAATTGACCTACAGTGGTGCAATTTTCTTGCAAAAATACTAAGGAGGTTTTTTACCTCCAGTTGATGCGTAGAGTTTTATGATTCTTTCGTATTTTTTTCTATACTTACTTGAAAGTTTTGGCAACAACTTCAACACCAGCAAGTCCCTGAAATGCTTTCCTGATTTGTTGGGTAGCTTTTTGGACAACTTCATAACATCTCATGCCACTGAGAGAACTCATGGCTGTACCCACAACTTCTAAATATTCTGAAAATAAAAAAAACAAGAAAAAAATTGAGTAACTAGAAATTAATTACCAATATCAAATTGATGATCTTGAAAGATTTGACATTGTTGATAAAGTTTTTGAAGTCTTAGTTGGTTTAAACTAGATATCAAATTATTTATCATGAGGAGAGATGTAACTAAGGAGTCCAAAGAAAGCTTCAATGTAGCAAATGTAGTAATTAATTTTTTATTTGGCAGCATCAAATATATGGATCTTCAAAAGTGTACATTGTCGAATTATCTGGGAAGTCTTGCTACTGAAGTATTTGGTGATAAATAATTTAAGGACTGGAGTTAGAATTAAGTAGTCTGAGACTACGAGGAGTCTGAACTAAAAATTATTTGCTAGTATCATTTGAATGGATCTTAAAAATTTACATTATCAATTAATCAAGGAAGTCTTGATGATGAGTTTTGGAAGTCAAAATTGGTATGAAAGAGTACATCAATGATTTAATATGATGAAAAATAGAATTTAGAAGGTGCAATAAATGACACAAAAGTATGGTAATATTGCAAGTATTCAAGTCCAGAAGGTATTGTTTTTCATTATGACTAAACCGCAATATAAACATCCCTTTGGCAATAATGTTGACAATGACAACCTTTGACACCTTGGTCTTAGAAGTCTTACATGTATCACTTTTTCCAGAAAGTGTTGTTTTTCATTATGATTAAACCACAATATAAACGTCATTTTCAGCAATATTTTTGACAATGACAACATTTAACTCTTGGTCTAGATTCCAGGTGCATGTAACATTTTTATTTTCACTTTTTTTTTAGTCTGACCTTTAAAATCGGCTACTGCCACCATTGGAGCACTGGAGGCTAAAGCCATGTCCGCCAAATGTGGGTATTTTAATCGGAACCAAGCCGCCATACTTCCAGCATAGGAACCACCAATTGCAACCACTTTACTATGTTCGAGACCTTGAAAAAATAAAAAATATTAATCATAAAGATTTTTGTTAACTAAAATTTGGTAATTTTTTCATTTCATCTCATCTATTTACACACACATTTGGACATTTGTAAATAGATAAAATGAAATTAAATTGGACATTAAGTAAATCTGTTGGCTATTATGACAAAAGTAAGATATTATCTTATATGATAAAAATAGCTGTAGATAAGTAATACAGTTCTTATCAAATTTATTTTATACTTTAACTGTCTGTAAATTAATATTATTAATAATTAATATTGTACCATTTCCTTTTATTCATTATCTTTTATTTGAAAAACAAACTGGCAATGACTTTTCAGTACACTTGGGTAAATGTTTTTGTTCTATAAATCTTTTTTTTTTAAAAAATAAATGGTAATGACTTTCCAATACATTTGGGTGTACTATGTTTTTGTTCTATAATTATTTGTTATTGGAATTTATTGAATAATTAATTGTATTACCTGGAATAGTTTTTTTGATATGTTAACAAAATATGCCAAATCTGCCAAAGCTTGATCAACGTTCAGAAATTGCAAGCTCTCTACTGAAGTGTCTCTGTAAAAAAAGAAAAATTCACATTTTAATTTATATTTACTATTATACATTTATGCAAAACATAATATTTTATGGAACTAATGTAAATTGCTAGTGTAATTAGAAATGAGCCGAATTATGCAGTTGATATAGTAATAGTACAATTTCATATACCTGGGTACACTTTTTGATATTGGCTTTATACCATAAAAATTTGTATAAGCACATGTATATTATATCATATCATACAAAAGCTTATAAAATTATCTAAAAGTTGCCATACAAAGTTTAATAACATTTAGAACAAATATTGACAAATAATTAGGCCTAAACTTGAAAGTCCTAAAACTTTGTGATGAATTTCATATACCTGGGTACACTTTTTGATATTTGGCTTTATAAAAATAAAAATAAAAACATAAAAATTTGCTTAAAAACATGTATATATTTTATGTCATAAAAAAGCTCATAAAAGTATCTGAGAGATTCCGTATAAAGTTTAATAACATTTAGAACAAATAATAACAAATAATTAGGCCTAAACTTGAAGGTCCTAAACTACGTGATGAATTTCATATACTTGGGTACACTTTTTGATATTATAACATTAAAATTTTGCTTGAACAGGTGTATTATATTATATCATAAAAAAGCTTATACAATTATCTGAAAGTAGACTGAGTCCCCATTCTCAAAAATTTAAAATTCCCAATAAATCTCTTGTCAACTTAGGACAAGTACCAAAAATTCGTTGTATTTCTCTAGTTGTTTTTTTTAGAATTTTATTTTTACTTACTCTGTGGGTCGACTAAATCCATAAAATCTGTGTTCAGTATAAAACATGTATCCAGAATGTTGTTTGGCCATATCGTAAACTTGGCCACCCATTAAGGACCCATCATTTATAGTCCATTCACCACCAATGTATAAATTATAGGGCCACCAGGTTTGAAAAACTCGTCGTTGGAGAGATATCTCTGGATAAAAAAATTAATAAAACATTACAGTATGAATAGTAAATTATAGTAATGAATTGGAAAAATAAATATCCAAAAAAAAATTGAAATTTTTTTGTACACCCGCTTGCCACACCACATATAATATTTATAGATGAATTTCATATACACTTTTTGATATTTGGCTTTTTATAACATCAAAAGTTGCCTAAGTACATGTATATTACATTACATCATAAAAAAGCTTATACAATTCTCTTAAAGTTGCCTTGCAAAGTTTAATAACATTGGAACAAATAATAACAAATAATTAGGCCTGAACTTGAAAGTTTGAGTCGATTTACTTTGTAAACAAAAGTTGAGCCAAAAGTAGAACAAATCTATTAGAAATTTAATTCTTTAGTAGATAAAAATATAACTAATGGTGTATGGTATCGTGCCTTAAGGCAATTGCTGGCGTTTATGGTCTTAACGAACCCCCTAAAATATTATAGGCCTACGAAAAATATTTTAATTTTAAAAATTAAAAATTCATCAAATTTGGAATTCCATTCCTCTCTTACCATTTGCCATGTTCTGTTATCTCTAGGGTTAAAATGGTCCAATCTTTGGGTAATATAATTATTAGGAATATTATGCCTAGATTTTGGTGTAATTTTAATAGGTTCTCTGGTTCTTAGTGTATAAAATCGAAAATTAAAAATGCTGAAGCGTTTCCGAAAAAAAGTGCTGAAAGCACTAAACTAGTATTGGGACATGCATCTGGAAAAAATAGAAATTTATTAAAATATTTTACATAAAACTTTGTTCTATATAAAATTGTACAATATTCTATTACCTCACACTTCAGTAAACACTCGACAACTGATTTAACTTCAGCAAATGCAATTGCATTTTAGATAAATGCAACTATTTAAAACCTTCTATTGTGATATTTAAGATAACGAAAGTAATCTCAATTACAAGACAGATAAATTACTTTTAATCGTAAATTAAAAGTGGTTTTATCGAGTTCTGTGTCACTTGTAATTACTAATAATAGTTATCAGGGACTTTTTTAAAAGAAAAATATAGTGCTTATCTTTAGATATGGATTTAAACGTTTGAGAAAGGCAGAAATAATTAATTGATGCCAATTTACTAATTGATATAGAAAAACAACTAGAAGGGAAAGTATAGGGTTAATAACGGTTTAATATTTATTTTCTTTGCAAAATGAAAATTTTTGCATATGTTTTACGTTTTAAAGGTTTCTGAACATATTGGCATACCTTTGGCATTCAGTATATTTTTGTTGTTCAAATACTTGATTTTTTTGATTAAAAACTATTACATCATACAAGCAAAAATGCTTTCAAATAAATTTGTCTTACAAAAGTTCAAAAATATTTTTCTAAATATTATACCAAAGTATTCTAGGAAAGCTAGTTACACAATAATTATACCCAAACTTATTCCATTAGTAGGTCATTGCTTTTTTCCACAATTATTAGACCAACTTTGGGGAATTTGACCAAGCAAATCATTCCAGATTTTTCCTAAAATTATATGAGTTTTCTGAATATTATTTCCTAGATTTAGTCTATTCATTTGGTTGGTTCTACCAGTAGTCATGGAAACTGAATCGATTTACTTTGTAAACAAAGTTGGATTCAAATCGAAATGAAGCCAAAAAATAGAGCAAATCTATTAAATATTTATAGAGATATAACTAGTGGTTAAATTAAAAATTAAAATTTGTCTAAGCACATGTATATTATATCATATCATAAAAATGCTTATAAAATTGTCTGAAATTTGCTATACAAGTTCAATAACATTTGGAACAAATAAAACAAATAATTTGGCGTGAACTTGAAAGTTTGAATCGATTTACTTTGTAAACAATAGTTGGATTCAAATCGAAATTGAACAAAAAATAGACCAAATCTATTAAATATTTAATTTTTTAGTAGATAAAGATATAACTAGTAATGTATGGCATCGTCTCTTAAGGCAAATTGCTGGAACTTCCCGAACCGTAATAAATATTCAAGGAATTTCAAATGTTTTCAAATAGATTACTACTTAAATACTGTTATTCACTCATTATTCGTATTTTTTAAAGACAAAATATAAGAACTCATAAATTCGACTGGTTTTAACATAATTTCCTTCATAAGAAAAACCAACATTTTTTTATAATCTGTTAGGAAACTGATTTTTTACAATCAATCAAATAATTCAAATTTCAAATTTCAATTTCAAATTCCCCGCCAGATTTTTTGAGTTTTAATAAATATGGCTTCGTGTTAAGTCGCGCGTAGGTGTCATTCGTGAATTAAATGTCAAATATAAATGTTGTACAAATAGAATTAAATTGTTTTTTTTAATAAATAAAATGGTTTTTAAGTATTAATTGTGTGATTTGAATGTTGGATTGTGTATTATATCAAGGTATATATGATAAAATATAACTATATTGTTTTTTTTTTACATTTGTGTGCAAATTCTGAACACGACCTAACCTAACTGACGTACACATTTATTTGTTGCTTTGCTATCTTACAGTAAACTATTGGTAGGATGAAATAACAATAT